TTGCTTCAACCATTAGGGAACGTTTTACAAAACCTGAGGGACCGCATTTCCCCATATATTCCCCAAAGAGCACTTTGGTCGGGGTCACAACACCGGCTGGTGAACCCGGGCCCTAAGGAGGCCAAGCTTGCGGCAACAAGGGCCAGGTCCTTTTCAGTGGCGGCTCCTATCTGGTGGAATGAGCTCCTGGAGGAGATCAGGGCTCTGTGGGACCTTGTGCAGTTCCGCAGGGCCTGTAAGACGGAGCTCTTCCGCCAGGCTTATGAGTAGGAGCTGCCACGGCCACTTCCACCACCGCTCCTTCATAGAGAGATACCGCCGGAGGGCTGGGCAACATCTTTCCATGACCCTAGCCTTCCCCACTGCTATGCAGATGTTAGGAGTTTTATATGTGCATCCGTCGAAACCGATTTTTAATTGTTTTAACTTTTGTATACTATATGCACTCTGTGCTCTGTGTGAGCCGCCCTGAGCCCGTTCGCGGGGAGGGCGGGGTATAAATGCAATAAAATAAATAAAAATAAATAAAATCCAAGCCTCCCATTTTAATAATCCCACTTCAGATATGCATCTTCTCACTTTCGTTCTTGTGTTTTAGTCCTGTTTGTGTGTGATTATAAAAAGATCTGGGTACTGCCTATGTGGCTATAATTACCGATAACCTGACTCTTCTGACCTTAGTTAGATTCTGCAGGAGAACAGAAAAGGCACAGATGATGATACTGGATGTTGAGAGCAATTTCATTTTCATTTGGAAAAGCAAGTTTTTAGCCCTTATAGCTGCAAGTATGCTTGAAAATGCATGCACAGTACCTGTTGAAGTCTAGGAAGCCATAGAGGTGTCTAAATAAGATTTTTACTAATTGAATGTGGGGCTAGGGTTGCCAGGTCTCCCCCCCCCCAGCCACCAGCAGGGGATGGAGGAGGACCTCAGTGCTCTTTCCTCTCCCAAGACTAGCCAAACCAGAATAAATTATGCAAAATAATAAATCATGTGGAAGTATGCAATATGAGATAAATTATACAATTACGCCATTCTATCCATTTGCATACTTATATGGGGCACAGAATCCAAGTTTTCTTGCTGCAGAATTCAGATTGCACGGGCATAAAATTTTAATTTTTTATTATAAAATACCCACAGCTTTGACATTAGATACAAGAACTGTAATGGAATTCTGTGTGAATGTAACATCTCTGTAAACCAAATATTTAAGGTTGGATCCAGTCACTTTCCCCAGTGGTTAAAAGGGAACCCTATCAAAAGGGCTCTGCTGGGGATTATTGGGACAAAAGCCACATTGGCTATAATAAGGCGGAGTATTGGCCAAAACGGAGTGAAAAAGGTGGCTGGATCTCACCCATAGGTCTTAAACAAATGCATTTGAAATGTAAGTGTTATTGGTTTCAGTAGAACTAACTCCCAAGTACTTCAGCATAAGAAACAAATAAGTGAGTCAGGAGAAGATTGCCAGAAAAGGGGAAGAATATCTCCATACATCTACTGATCAAATGTATGCAGTGGAAAAGTAGGATATGCTTCTGTACCACACATAGAAGGTAAGGGGCTCTATATATGCTACATGTCTGGGTCCAGTATGTATGTTCCTTCCCTTGAAAAGGAATGAAGATTGTATGCCAATCTGCGTAAAGCAGTCTGAACAGTTACATTATTTTGTGAGAGTTGCAGAAGCACTGCGGAGAGTATGGAGCAGAGAGCAGCACAGACTCTAGGGAATGGAGATAAGAAACTCTTGGCAAATTGCTTCAACATCCAGTCGTGGGTTCCCGAGAAATTCCAGAGCCGTGGACCTTTGACGTGCTTCTGACATGGCTTTGAGTCATCGAAGTGTTCTTGAAACTTCATGACTTAAAAGGGTAGCATGGCACAGATCTTTCCATGCATCTACTAAGACAGGAGTATGTCAGGAATGTGGGAGCAGTTCACTACACCTGTGCCTGACATGTAGCAATCCTTCCCATGATATCATGTTCTCTGCAGAAGCAACTTGTGTGGGCAATTCCATGAGGGGGGGGGAAACGAGTCAAGTTATTGGAGATGGGTGTTGTCATTTCCATTGAAGGACTGATTGCATTGCTAAAAAAAGGAGCAATGCTTGATTAGCACCATCTAATCCAGGGTCCAGTTCCACTCAGTGGCCAGCTAGTTGCCCTAGGAGGCCAACACATAGGGGAATAGAGGCTAAGGCCTTCCCCTGATGTTGCCTGCTGGCACTGGTATTCAGAAGTTTACTTCCTCTGAAAGTAGATCTAAGTCACAATGACTAGTAGCCATTGATAGACTTATCTGTCTAATCCTCTTTTAAAGCCATCTAAGAGCCAAACTCTACTTTATGTCTTCTATGGGGTCGCCACAGGGACTTGTGGCCATATGGCAACTGCAAGCTCCCCAAGGGAATTCCATTTATAATCACTGCAGGGGCCCAATTCAGGTTAGGACTGCAGAGTAAGAGGAGGAGGGGTCTTCCTCAGACCTCTCCCTGCACCATTTTCTGATCTGAAATGGCACCGTTGGTCATGTGCCACAATGTGCAGCTGTGCTGGGTGCATTCTAGGCCACAGTCTCAGTTAGGACAGGGTCTCAAAGCCCGGTCAGCACCACATTCAAACTCTGTGTGCATCTCCCTAGGACATGCTCCACAATCTTCTGCAACATATGGGGTTTCCATGGCTGATGTGCTTCAGATAAACATCCCATAACGCGGTGACCTGGGGCAGTAGCTCAGACAGGTTTTTTTGTCTTGCCTGTTTTCTCCCTGCTGCCTGCTCTCTGTTGAACTCCTGCCTCCACCCAAGAGCCACAGGGGAGCATTTTCCATACTCCTTACTCTCCCAAGCCTCTTTCAATATAGTGCAGTGAGTTGCACGCACTAGTTCCCTAATCCTTGCAAGGTTTCTTCTTCTTGTGAGAGTTCAGCCACCATTTCTGGTTCCCTGTTGCCAGGGCAACTAGAATGGTAGCAGACCTCTCAGAAGCTGAAATTGTCTTGGAAGAGCTTGGAAGTCCTACAGGGCACGCACAGTTAGCTGTGCAGTTGAAGAGTTCTGGCCAGCAAAGAGGTACGGAGGACTGTCTGCTCTGGAGGGGTAGCAGCTGTAGCTAGCGGCACTTGCTTTTCAAAAGGAAAGGCACACCAGTCATTGTGGCTGGTTCACAATCATGTAAAAAGAGGAGCTGCTATTACACGGGGGGGGGGGAGCAAAACAAAATGCATAAAAAGGTGGGAAGATCCATGCATGCTACCCTGAGGTCTTTGGAGGAAGAGCACGGGGCAAAAATGTGTTAAGACAAGATAGGTCCTTCTTCAAACATCAGATTTTCAAGTGTTTTCCCGTCTTCTCAGTATTCAGAGAGAAAAAGAATACAATCATACAACATTAATGCGAACGGTTAAAGAACTACCAGCCCAGCAGTTAAATAGAATAACTGCAAAAGTAAATATTAAACTGGAGAGACACGGTTGTTGTTGTTTTTAAGGTGTACTGCTGAGAAATCCCCTCCTATTCTGATAGTAACAGCTTAGATTTTCCCCTTTGGAGTCACTCTTGGGATAATATTAGGGGATTACGTACATCTCATCAGATCTTAGAAGCCAAGTTAGGTGGGCCCTGGTTAGCAGTTGGATGAGAGACCACCAAGGAAGTCCAGGGTTACAACAAAGAAGTGGGCAATGGCAAACCACTTCTTCTGAATGTGTCTTGCCTTGAAAATCCTACGGGGTTTCAGCTGTGACTTGTGGGTTAAAAAAAAGTACATTGTGCCGTCATACATGGTGGCATGATCAAACCATACATTTTGAGAATGTCAGGGAATCTAACATTTGTGTTAAAAAAAAGGCTTAATTAAAAAGTGTCTCTGGTTACAGGAACCATTTTGATACAACTGGCAGTTACCCTGGAACTATAAGAGGGGAAGGTCCCTCTGGCACTGGCCAGAGGAACACGGGCCATTGGGAGGCTGAGGCCCCCTGCCAAGGAATAGACAAATCTTGCCCAGTAGTGATTCAACAAAGGGGTGTCACAGCCCCCAGCCAACCACATGCTACTGCCTAGGAGCCAAAGCACTCAGTACCTATTCTTTCCTCATTCCCCAGGCATCTATTTATTAAGTCCTGTATGTTTTTCAGCTAACCAAAGGGTGAGTGATCGAGGGAGGGTCCATACATCACTTGTCTCCTTGACTTGTCAACTTGCACAGTTCCTTTCATTTTTCTTTTGTCAGAGAGGCTGCAACACATTGTCAGTGGGACTCTCTTGTGTTCATGCTGCTGTGGCTAGCTCCACTCAACAGGATTTGAAGCCAATTACAGTAAGAAGACCTTGCTTCATATTGGTTTCAGTTCCAAGGCTCCTCTGTTGCACAAGACTCTAACTCAAGGGGATTAAAGGTCACTTGGGCTTCTCAGAGGCACAGGCGTCTGACCTACCCTATGCTTGGCTAAACCTAAAATTCAGTTTTATGCCTTTTTCCTACTCTTTACTTTTGCAAAGAGTACAGCTACAATTTGTTCTATTGCTTTAAAAAATATATTGACTCAAAGCTTTTTAAAGTATTTTTCTTTTATTTGAAAGACAGTGCTGCAGAATTTGGTCCATATTGGTTGAAAGAAACTGCTTCACATTATTTTCAACCAGCTAACCAACCAACTATTTTTCTACCATTGTAGACTGGAAATAGCAATCTAATACTCAAAAAAAGACACTAAGACCTTCTGCAGTACATGGAACCAGAGTGTATCTCATTCAAAAATGAATATATAATTAATGGATTTTAATACATATGATTTTAACTGGCAGTGTGTAGAATTGAGTGTTTTATTTACAGCATGTAAGTACACATAATTATTCACCTCCAACATAACTGAAAGGAAAACATTTACCATTCATTTTTTCCAGAAAATATTGGTAAAAAAGACACTACTAATTCATACGTATTAACATTAAGGAACATGGAATCTCAGACCTTATAAAAAAATTAATTATATGCAAGTTCACAGGTAAAAACTGCTACCACTGTGGTAAACTGTCTTGTAATACTAATAGTATCTATTCCAGAACACAGCCAATTCATTCCCTTTAGATTTAGGATCTATTTCAGCATGAAGGCACTAACAAATACCAACTTCTAACAAATCAGAGTTGATTTTATAAGGATATGCATAAGATTATGTATTTCTTTAATCTTTAATAGTCATTATATTCTTATGCTGGCCTTGACCTTTTAAAAATATAATACATGTATAATTCAAACATGATGTAACGCTCGTGCTTACTCCATTTAAATTATTGCATAGTTGAGTTTAATCACTTTCATGGGCAGCCTATGAATATGGATTGTCACTTCTTCCATATTGTATGTGTGGTAGACTTGTAGTCATCTTAGCTGCTCGGAAATCCTGTTACTGTATTCTGGCAGCTGTCAGATATGAGCTCGTTCATTTCATTTTGTTTACTTTCTTCTTTGTTCTCGTGATTGGGGCGATGCCTGGTGGCTCTTCTAGACCTTCTAATACAAGACTTGGTCACCAAATAACCAAATTCAGTTACATTTAATAGAATGCAAATGGCAGACACTACGATCATGAAAATGGTGAAGACAGTCTTTTCAGTGGGTCGGGAAACAAAACAGTCCACTACATTGGGACAAGGCCAAGCACTGCATTTGAGTAGGCGAGGCATGTGGTACCCATGATACATGTAGTAAAACGCATACATGAAGCCAGCTTCAAAGCTCAGCCTGAAGAAGATGCTTATGGTGTATGTCCACCAGAGAGGGCCCTCAATATGAAATCTTTGTCTTTTTATTTCTTCTAAGTCCTTATATTCACGGTTTCCCTCTCCCTTTATGAACTTCTTTTTCCTTTCATGTCTTCTGTATGCCACGTGCATTGCCACCAAGAGAGCAGGAGTAGAGACAAAAATGAGCTGAAGGGCCCAGAGTCTGATGTGAGAAATGGGGAAAAAGTGATCATAGCAGACATTTCTACACCCTGGCTGCAGAGTGTTGCAAACAAAATCATCTTGCTCATCACCCCAGACTTCCTCTGCAGCAACAACAAGGATCATAATACGGAAGATGAATAGGATAGTCAGCCAGATCTTTCCAATACTGGTGGAATGTCTGTTTACACCTCCTAAAATGGCCTGAAGTGATCCCCAGTCCATTGTATCGTTTGAGTCCTTTGACCTATTAAGAAAAGATTGCACCAAAAAGAATTAGATTATGAACAAATACATTTTGTAAATCAAATTACATTAGTAGTAAGATGCTTCAACATTAGCAATGTGAAAAATCTTTATGAAGGATAAGAACACCACCATCCCATTTCACAGAGTGGCCAACCAGTTGGATATTGTAACTGCATGCAAGAGGATTTTGGAGGGAAAGGTTAAGAGAATTCTCTCAACTCAGGTACACTTGGCCCCACCCTCTCATCAGTTAGATGTTGAGTCTCTTTGGCCAATGCCTATCTTCTGTTTTTCATCTTATATAGGACCTCTCTTTCCCCTCCCTTACCTGGGCTTGGAATTGTAGCAAGTTAACCTTTTTGAAGTTAATCTCTTTACAAGAAGTTAAATGTACCTGCATGAATGTGACATGTAAGAAGTGCTTCCATTTTTGTAAGTAAAATTCCTTTCTCTTGTTACCATTGGAGTAATATCATCTTTGTAGTTTGAACAGCATGGGGAAGTGTGGAGAAATGGGGATATAGTGTAAAGCTTCCGTGCTTCCAAAGCAAATTATATATATATATATTACATTCAACCCAAGACAGGCTAAGACCTTCCCCTGATGTCCTGGCACTGGTATTCAGAGGCTGACTAGTTCCCTCCAATTAACAATGCAGTAGGACTGCGATTACAGAATTGGATAACAATGCAAACAAAAGAGAGGGAAACTGTTTAAGGCATGACATACCAAAATACAGGAAGTGGGTAACATAGGTAGAAGACAGCACAGTACAAGAAAGGTGATACACACAAAAACCAGGGTTGCCAGCCTCCAGGCAGGGCCTGGGGATCTCCCACTTTTACAACTGATCTCCACCTGACAGAGATCAGCTCCCCTGGAGAAAATGGCTGATTTGAAGGGCATTGTACCATTCTGAGGCCCTTCCCCTCCCCAAACCCCACCCTCTCCTGCCTCCACCCCCAAAGTCTCCAGGTATTTTCCAACTAAGATTTAGCAACCCTGCAAAAAACACTGTATTACAATTCTAATACTTTTACAAAAAATGCCCTCCTGAACATTTCTGTTTTGCACATTCTGTGGATTGACAGAAGCACAGGAGCTTTCCTGACAACTTCAGATGGGCTATTTCACAAGGTGGAAGTCACTACAAAGAATGTATGTGAAATTATCCATTTGCAGGTTTATCACGTTTTGCTCACATGAGCAAAACTGTCGCAGAGGAGCAAAGCAGGAGAGGGGTCTGGTTCAAGGCCATTAAGAGCTTTGTAGAATGATCTCGGTCCGAATCCAAGGCAAAACATTCAACATCACAGTAATCCAAGTCTATGCCCCAACCACTGACGCAGAAGAGGCTGAAGTGGACTGGTTCTATGAAGACCTACAACACTTCATAGAACTAACACCAAAAAGATGTCCTCATCATCATAGGGGACTGGAATGCTAAAGTAGGAAGTCAAAAGGTAACTGGAATAATGGACAAGTTTGGCCTTGGAGAACAAAATGAAGCCAGGCAAAGGCTAACAGAGTTTTGTCAAGAGAACACACTGGTCATAATGAACACCCTCTTCCAACAACCTAAGAGGCGACTCTACACATGGACATCATCAGATGGGCAACACAGAAATCAGATTGATTATATCATTTGCAGTCAAAGATGGAGAAGCTCTACACAGTCAGTAAAAACAAGACCTGGCGTTGACTCAATCATGAGCTACTCATTGCAAAATTCAGACTTAAACTGAAGAAAGTTGGGAAAATCACTAGGCATTCAGGTTTAACCTAGATCACACCCGTTATGAATATACAGTGGAAGTGAAGAATAGGTTTAAGGGACTAGATTTGATAGAGTGCCTGAAGAACTATGGATGGAGGTTCGTGACATAGTACAGGAGGCAGCAATCACCACCATAGTACAGAAGGCAGCAATCACCAATGGAAGAAAACAAGGTGGCTGTTTATGAGGCTTTAAAAATAGCAGAGAAAAGAAGGAAAGTGAAAGGCAAAGGTGAAAAAAAGGAAAGATTTACCCAACTAAATGCAGATTTCAGAGAACATCAAGGAGACATACGGATGCTTTCCTGAATGAACAATGCAAAGTAATAGAGGAAAACAAGAGAATGGGAAGGACTAGAGATCTCTTCAAGAAAACTGGAGAAATCAAGGGAACATTCTGTGCAAAGCTGGCCATGTTAAAGGACAAAAACGGTAGGGACCTAACAGGAGCAGAAGAGATTAGGAAGAGATGGCAAGAATACACAGATGAACTATACAAGATTGACCTCAATGTCCTTGACAACCATGACAGTGTAATAACTGACCTTTAGCCAGACATCCTGGAATGCGAAGTCAAATGGGCCTTAGAAAGCATTACTAACAACAAAGCTAGCAGAGCTGATGGTATCCCTGCTGAGCTATTCAAAGTCTTAAAAGATTATGCTGTTAAAGTGCTGCACTCAATATGCCAGCAAATTTGGAAAACACAACAGTGGCCACAGGATTGGAAAGGTCAGTTTACATTCCAATCACAAAGAAAGGCAATGCCAAGGAATGTTCAAACTATCGCACAATTGCACTCATTTCACACGCTAGCAAGCTCACACTCGATCCTACAAGCTAGGCTTCAGCAGTATGTGGATAGAGAACTGCCAGAAGTACAAGCTGGCTTTCGAAGAGGTAGAGGAACTAGAGATCAAATTGCCAACTTTCGCTGGGTTATGGAGAAAGCAAGAGAGTACCAGAAAAACATCTACTTCTGCTTCATTGACTATGCTAAAGCCTTTGATTGTGTGGATCACAACAAACTATGGCAAGTCCTTAAAGAGATGGGAGTACTAGACCACCTCACATGTCTCTTGAGAAACCTGTATAAGGGTCAAAAAGTGACAGTTAGAACAGGATATGGAACAACTGATTGGTTTAGCATGAGAAAAGGAGTACGACAAGGATGTATAGTGTCACCCAGCTTATTTAAGTTATATGCAGAGTACATAATGTGAAATGCCGGCCTGGATGAATCACAAGCCGGAATTAAGATTGCTGGGGAAAGCATCAACAACCTCAGATATGCAGACGATACCACTCTAATGGCAGAAAGTGAAGAGGACCTAAAGAGCCTCTTGCTCAGGGTGAAAGAGGAGACCGCAAAAGTTGGCTTGAAACTCAACATAAAAATAATAAGATCATGGCATCCGGCCCCATCACTCCTTGGCAAATAGAAGGGGAAGTCTTGGAAGCAGTGACAGACTTCACGTTCCTGGGATCCAAGATCAGTGCAGACGGTGACTGCAGCCATGAAATTAAAAGACGCCTGTTCTTAGGAGGAAAGCAATGGCAAACCTAGACAGCATAATAAAATGTAGAGACATCACCCTGCCAACAAAAGTCTGTATGGTCAAAGCAATGGTATTCCCAGTAGTAATGGTCCAAAAGAGTTGGACCATAAGGAAGGCAGAGCACTGAAGAATAGATTCTTTTGAATTATGGTGCTGGAGAAGACTCTTGAGTCCCTTGGACTGCAAGGAGATCAAATCAGTCAATCCTAAAAGAAATCAACCCTGACTGTTTCCCTGGAAGGCCAGATACTGAAGCTGAAGCTCAAATACTTTGGCCACCAAATGAGAAGGGAGCACTTACTGGAGAAGACCCTGATGCTGGGAAAGACTGAAGGTAAAAGAAGAAGGGGACGGCAAAGGATGAGATGGTTAGACAGTGTTATCGATGCAGCGAACATGAAATTAAGCAAACTCCAGAGCACGATGGATGACAGGAGGGCCTGGCGTGATGTGGTCCATGGGGTTGCAAAGAGTCGGACTTGACTGTGCGACTGAACAACAACAGAATCTTGAACTGAACCTGGTAACTGATCAGTAACAAGTGAAATGGCTGCAGAAAGAAGTAATATGTAGATTCTGCTTGGTGCCAATAGTAGGTGGGCAGTGGCCTTCTGTACCAACTAGAGTTCACAAGTTGTCTTGAAGGGCAAACCCATGTAAAGTGCAATAGTCTAGCCTTGAGGTAACCACAGCATGGATCAGTCTATCTCAAGGTATCACCATGGCCATATCAGCCAAGTCAAGGTAGGGTGGCCATCTTCTGGGCCAAATTAAGCTGGAAGGATGCCTTTTTTGCAGCTGCCTTAACTTGCTTCTCCAGCAATAATTCTGGGTCCAATATAACCCTGTTCCCTAGGCTTCTGAGTCAGCAACTGTCAACTGGACTCCCTCACAAGTGGGAAGCACAGCATCCTTCAAGACCTTGGCCATCTCTACCAATATTAACTCTGCCTCATCAGGATTCAGTTTTACCTTGCTTGCTCGTAGCTATTTAATCACAGCAGAAAAGCACTTGTTCAGAGTCTCTACAGAATCACCGGACAATTCAGATAAAGAAATATAGAGCTGGGTGTCATCACAGCATACTGATGGCAGTCTACTTCAGATCCATGAATGATTTCTCCCAATAGCATGGGAGATAAGACTGAACACTGTGGAACCTTGGAAGGCAAGTCCTACACTGGTAACAACTGATGTGCAACTGCAACCCTCTGAGTCTTGCCCTTAGGAAACTATGTGTATTTAAACCAATCCAATCCAAAGCACATCCTTAAATCTCTCATTTTACCTCCAGACATCTCGACAAGATGGCATGCTTCACAGTATTCATAAGGCTCAGTGAAAATAACAAAATTCACCATCTGATATCAGAATTGATTGATATATACAATATTACACCTATAACAGTACAACGGCTCTTTCTGTACCCGTATTTTGCCTTGGTTTCTGAGCGCATCCTATTCTTCCATTCTGCGTCCCTGTCCCCCCCCCCCCCCCCACCCCCCCCGTACTTTGTTTCAGGGTTTTCTCTTGTTTCTGCATTTGTTTTACAGGAATTTGCATTTGGACCACTCCCAAGACACTGTTGCCCCGCAGCTACCAAAACTCCTTTTGCTGCAATTCTTTGTTCTTATCCGCTTTTGAATTGCTAGTCCTTTCTAA